AAGCTGCAGCGATTGTGATTGTGAACAGTATGATATTAAAGAAGAAGAAAACGAGAATGAAGGAATAAAAGTGAAAGAAGAAGAAGATTTGGACACTAATTACAATTTTTTGGAAAGTGTTGATCAATCAGAAACTAATGGTGAGTCCACAATTGATACTTTTTTACATTTAATCATCTGTCTTTTTAAAATCANTATGTACGATGATGAGTATCGTTGGTTTATGATAAAAAATTTTGCTGTTTCTGCTGAAAATGTGAATGAAGTGAATGAGGCATTGAGTGAGAATGAAGAATCAGAAACAGACTCTGATGCCACTGAAATTGATGATGAGGATTATGAAGCAGTCAGTGGTGAGTGGGCAGTAGGTGTGTGTTTGTTTTTGTTACCCATTTTTTTTATTCTGCAGAACCTCAGCCAACTGAAGCAGTGGTCAATGAAAACTTGAGCAATGCCTCCGGTGAACAACAGTCACACCGTCGTCAAAGAAAAGACAAAACGCACAAGTGTCAGCAATGCCACAAAAGCTTTGATCGTTTATCTGATTTCAAACGACACCAACTGTTGCACACTGGTGTCCGACCGCACAAATGCACAGTGTGCTCCAAATCATACACACAACTTAATCATCTTCAAACACACCAATTGGTGCACACTGGCGTTCGACCGCACAAATGCACAGTGTGCTCCAAATCATACACACAACTTAATCATCTTCAAACACACCAATTGGTGCACACTGGCGTTCGACCGCACAAATGCACAGTGTGCTCCAAATCATACACACAACTTAATCATCTTCAAACACACCAATTGGTGCACACTGGCGTTCGACCGCACAAATGCACAGTGTGCTCCAAATCATACACACAACTTAGTCATCTCAAAATACACCAATTGGTGCACACTGGCGTTCGACCGCACAAATGCACAGTGTGCTCCAAATCATACACACAACTTAGTCATCTCAAAATACACCAATTGGTGCACACTGGGGTCCGACCGCACAAATGCACAGTGTGCTCCAAATCATTCACACGACTTAATCATCTCAAACGACACCAACTGATTCACACTGGCATTCGACCGCACAAATGCACAGTGTGCTCCAAATCTTTTGCACAAATTGGTCATCTTCAAACACACCAATTGGTGCACACTGGCGTCCGACCGCACAAATGCACAGTGTGCTCTAAATCATACACACAACTTAGTCATCTCAAAATACACCAATTGGTGCACACTGACGTCCGACAGCACAAATGCACAACATGCTTTCAAGCATTCACACAACTTAGTCATCTTAAACGACATCAAGTGGTGCACACTGACGTCCGACCGCACAAATGCACAACTTGCTTCAAATTTTTTAAAACTAAAATGGATCTCAAAAAACACCAACTGGTCCACAGCAACTCTAGACCATTTCAATGCACCGTTTGTCAGCAAACCTTCAAACACAAAACAAATCTCAATGACCATCTCCAAGCTAAGCATTCACAGTAAATCTGCCTTTTTACCTGCTCTCTTTATGGTAATTTTTCTACATATTTAGTTTTCATTAATTTTATTTACCTAATGTCAAATCATTTTGCCATATTCAACTTCACTTGTATTTTTATAAAACACAATTTTGAAATCAAATAAAAAGACATAAAAAAAAGTTTGTGTCAATGTCTTTATTACTCTGTGTTGACAAGGACTGTGCATGTTAGCTGTTCCTTTAAAAATAAAATAAAAAGCCAGCAAAAAAATCAATTTTTTTGTTTAATGAAAAGGAATAAAAGTGCTGAACAGGGGGTGGTTCTAAACAAACGAACAAACAAACAAACAGAGAACT